ATGATGTGGCATTTGCCTCAATACACCCTCTCAAGCTAAAATTGGAATTTGTAATGATGCCAATTGGAAGCGTGGACTTCAAGTAACAGAACCTGATTTTGGAAAAGGGACTTAGTGTAAGAACTGCTAATTGATCTTCACTATAGACAAATTGAACTTTGATGAGATTTGCAAGAACCAACTCTCGGATGTAATGATAATTGATTTCTACATGTTTAGTTCTTGCATGAAATACAAGATTTGAGGCAAGTGAAATTGCTGAAATTTTATCACACCACAAAGTAGGAATAGTTTTGAGAGGAAAGCCAATATCATGAAATATTTTGTAGATCCAAGTGCGTTATGCAACTATGTGTGCCAAAGATCCATACTTTGCTTCTGTTGATGATCAAGCTACAATAGCTTGTTTCTTGGCACTCTAGCTAATTTAATTTGGACATAGAAAAACATTGTATCCACTCGTGGATCTTTTGTCAAATGTACATCCTGTCCAATCTGCATCAGAGTATGCAGTGAGATTATTACTACCCTTTTTAAACCAGATGCCCCTAAGGAATGGAGCCTTTTAAAAACTTGAGAACCCTTTTTGCAGCTTTCATATGTTGTTCCCTGGGAGCATGCATGAATTGACAGATTTGGTTCACTACAAAGGAGAGATCAGGCCTTGTCCAAGTCAAATATTGCAGGCCACCAACAATGGACATGTATTAAGTAGGATTAGGGAGACGAAGGCCACTGTGATCAAGCTTGGTGGAGCTGAGAGGAGTACAACATGGCTTAGAACCTTCCATATTGGTTTTCTCAAGAAGGTCAAGTAGATACTTTGTTTGATAAAGAAAGATACCCTCAGATGTTTTTGAACTTCCAATCCCAAGGAATAATGCAGAGGTCCCAGATCCTTGACTAGAAAAATGGCATTCAGTTTTTGAATGAATAACTGACATATAGAAGCATTAAGGCCTGTAACAAATATGTCATCTACATACACTATGACAATTACCAAGGTTGGTCCTTTGGAAACAAATAAGGATGCATTTGAGGAAGATTGAACAAACCCAAACGTGAGAAGAGCTTGGAATAGCTTGTCAAACCAATCTCTTAGTGCCTGTTTAAGGCCTTATAAAGATTTCCTCATCTTACAAACATGATGTGGCATTGAAGGATCAATAAAACTTGTAGGTTGCTCCATATACACAACTTCTTTCAAATCACCATAAAGAAGTGCATTAGTTGAGGGTATTATTGAATAAAGCTAAAGGCTATATATACTCTTTCTTGTAATAACATTGTTGAAAATACAATTGAAGCTTCTGAAAGAATACTCTGATGATGTGGCATTTGCCTCAATATTGTAGGCTATTGTATGTCGACCAACCCTAATTATCTTTTTTTAGTCAAGAAGAAATTCTAATTATATCTTGTCTAATGTGATCGTCGATCGTAATAGAAAGTTTAATAATCGAATAAACCACTAAACAAACCGATTAGGCATGAGAGGATCATAAAGGTGGCCGAAAAACACAGTCGCTAACAACGGTGGACTAAGGAGAAAAGCCATTAATCCCTCTAGAATTTTAGGGTTAGGATAATTTCCTTATGATTATGATGGGGGAGCGTGAGAGGCTAGGACATCTTAATCCTGTACTGATCGGACCCCACGGGATGAACTAGGGTACATTGAATGGGGTGGGATTGGATGGCACCTAACCTACCTAAGCAAGTCTTTCAATATTTGAATAATGCATCGCACCAGTTTTTCTACCGCCATGCATCGCACCAGTATTAATATTGGTGATTGGTCAGTGGCAAGCTCACATGCATGCATGTATATACATCTATCTATGGGCCAGTGGCTGCCCTGCCGGCCAAGGTCCTTCCTCCATCGATGTGAAAATTCATTCTTCATGCATTATCTTGTATGTGTGATAAATTTTCAAGTCTAATAAGTAGACAATACAAACGGAGTGATGTAAAGCGTGTGTAACCATTGGGCTTAACACGTGTGATAATATGTTCTGATATCATGAAGAAAATTTAAATTTCACGATAAAACCAATTAACAATATGAAAAGTAATCTAACTTATATTTAATATTTTCCCTCCTTCCATCAAGGGGAATTTTATTCTCAACAAATACTAACAGACAGTCAAACCGACCCTTTTCCTTTTTAGGGCAAGCATGCATCATGAGGTGGGGAAGGAGATCTTCTTGTCCATAAAACTATCATCCTATTTCTACACCATTGATTCATTTTCCACAGCTTAGCTTTAGAGGTTCTATTGTATTTTACTATCATCCTGCATGTATGAATGGAACATAATCAATCGATTGATTGTTTTGGTCGGAAAGATAAGATTCGAACGTTTTAACACGACAGAAGATTAGAACGTTTTAACATGACATAAGATAGACAAGCTAACTCTTGATGACTAATACCAAAAGGAATTATTAGTACTATTACATGGTTGAAGTTTTCTATACGCAAAAAATATTCAACTCATTAAATATAATCCCATTCGTATAAGCTATAATCGTCATCTTTTAGGGTTTTAGCTATGATGTATATTAGCCATTCTAAACCACACAAAAACTGCGTTTTCTACACTCCACGGCTGACGTAGCTGCACTTGCAATTGCTAGACGTTGATGGGGGCAGTAAAGGTAGATTTTTGGGAATCTAGTTAGTGAGCCATGTGTAAGTTATGCAGAAATAATAAAATCTAGATAGGAAGTAGGCCATGAGTAAGTATTGAAAAAAATATTCCCTAATTGCATTGCTTCCAATTTTAATTTACTTTTTGTTGACTTTATAGTTTATACATTGATAAATCTTGAAAGAGAGAAATTTTTTCAATATGTTCGGAATATGCGACAGTAAATCATAGATTATTATACAAGTATACAAAAAAAGTTAAGTGGTTGTGAGCATTACAATGTAGTTGAATGAGTACCTATATGTGTTTGTCTAAGTCTAAATTAGAGATAAAGAATGTGCTACACAAATTTTAAATTTAAATTTAAATATTAATGATAATTAATGTATTGGTAATGCTCACCGGAATCGGATCCTCTCCGGATCCCTTCTCTAGGAATCCCCGGAGATCCTTTAATCACCAACGTTCAATAAAAGAGCAATGGTCAGGATTCATTTGATTTGTTTTTTTCCTCTTTACATTACTCCCTCTTTCTTTTTCATCGTCTTCTTCAACCTCTCTCAATCCTCACCTTCTTCTCTTCACCGTTTCCAATAAGACCAAACCCAATCATGGGCTAAATGCTATTTTTTAGGTTTTATTTCCCCTCCAAGCCCCCCAGGATTTAGCCCAGGAAATGGTGTGGGCACCACCAACGGCACCCCACCCACATGGGCTTCTCAGGATTTATTAAATATAACGACTGAGATCGAATATAATCAAATCTAACGGTAAAAAAAAAAGATATAACGGCTCAAATTTAAATCCAACGGCTAAAATAATTAAAAAAATTATTTCTCAAAATTCACCCAAATGTAGAGATTTTTCAATATTTATAGGAATTTAAATATTTTTAGGTTAAAATATTCATAAAATTAAATTATGATAGTGTACATAATGTTTTTTAAATTACTTTAAAAGAAAAAATTAGCCTAAATTTATCTTTAATAATCTCAAGCTAAAAAATTTAAGCCAGAAGCTAGAAAGGTTGAAACAGAAAAGTTATTTCTAAGCTCAAACTTAAATTTTTTAGGCTAAAATGTTTAGATTTTAGAAGTTGGAGATGGTCTAAATCGGCGTGACATCTTTCTCTCTCCGTCCTATTTTGCTTCTCAGTGTCACCTTCCCCTCGCCTCCTGCATCTCAGATTTCAAAACAAGTACATTTGTTGGTCTCAAGCAGAAAATCAATCAAGCCAACTCATTAAACACCCCAAAACCCGATCTTTACCCTCGCCCTCCATCCCTAACCCCTATTTCTTCACCCAACAAAAAACGCCCATAAACCCAGAATTTTTTTTAATATACGATTTTTTTTGTATTTTCCAAACACCCTTATAACCCATGAATTAAAATTTCCGAACAGCCACGTAATTGATTGCAGGGAGGAAGAAAATTTTTGTCAGATTTCGTGTTTGATGTGAAACCATGAAACCAAGGGAGGGAGGATGAGGAGAAAAATAGTTTGGATCGATCTTCGATTGAGCCGTCTCACGAAGATCGGAACTCGAAGGCTCGAGGAGCAGCCCCTAAAAGGGAAGCCGTGGATACGGCGTGTTCGTCACTGCAGTGTTGAAAGACAAGGGAGAGAGGCGGACGTTTTGATGCGAAATTGGGTTCCAAGCTTTTTGATGGAAAAATAGGGAGAGAGGGGGGAGAGGAAAGAGAGAGACTTTTTAATGTTAAAACTATTAAAAGAAAATTGATTACTAGCCGTAGGATATCATCTAACGGCCACGACATGATTGGTCTGGAGGCTCTGTGAAGGTTCCGGCGAGGACCCGAGCCCATGCTCACCAGTACTACTTCGAAATGGTGACCTAAAACGGTCTCGAACAAATTTAGTGAACCTTTTAGTTTGTTCGGACAAAGGTTCTCTTCTAGTATACAACCAACACTTAGCAATCCATGCATACGATGAAAGTAGTGCTTCGGGTTGGTTTTTTTTCGCATGTCTGAAAACTAAAGAATCTGATCAAGGAAGAGAGCCGCCCTGTAGCTTGTTCATATGCAATTCCAGTACGTTCGCTTTACTCTTCTTTCTATACGAAGTAAGGCCCCACCTCTTCGATTTGTATTTTGTAATAAGACTTCGCTGGGTTGCTCTTGCTCACTAAATAAAAGATAGAAGATAAGACATATTTATAATTTGATTGTCTGTAGTTTTTACATATCAGCAACTTTACCGTCCATTAATCCCGCACCAAGTGTCACATAAAGATTGGCTGCAAGACCGAAGCCTGTGCAAGTCAATGCTGATGATGAAATTTGAGGGCATCTGCATCAACTCCCTTATAAATAACCATGTGCAATATCACTTACTAAGCTGTGCAACTTCCTAGAACTTGCTCCAAATTAAGCTTAGCAGCTGGAGAGGATGCAGATTTTTTATTGCTGTCTTTGTCTCCCCCTTCAAACTTAATACCGAAACATGGATACAAAAGTACTCTCCTCCGGAGTCATATACACCAACTTGCCGGAAAGCTATGTCAGACCAGAATCCGACCGGCCTCGCTTGTCCGAAGTCTCTGAATGCGAAAACATTCCCGTTATTGACCTGGCTTCTCCCAACAGAGCCCAAACCGTGCAGCAAGTTGGCGATGCCTGCAAATATTATGGTTTTTTTCAGGTACCCTCCTCCCTATATCATTAATTAGGATCTTATTTATATGGATCCATCCCTATCTCACTTTAGTTAAGATACAAGATATTGCGAAACTCAACAACCGCATTTTTCACAAACCCAGTGCATGTACATATGTGTGTGTACATATTTCTTGATATTCGAGTGATTTCGGTGCTAGGTTATTAACCATGGGGTGTCAACGGAAGGAGTGGAAAAAATGGTAGGGGTGGCCAATGAGTTTTTTAACCTTCCTGTGGAGGAAAAATTGAAGCTGTACTCAGATGACCCCTCAAAAACCATGAGACTTTCAACAAGTTTTAATGTAAAGAAGGAGAAGGTTCATAACTGGAGAGATTATCTTCGCCTCCATTGCTATCCTTTGGACAAGTACGTTCCTGAGTGGCCCTCCAATCCTTCGTCCTTCAGGTACGTTTCTCTCTCTCTCAATTATTTGTCTCTCTCTGATATATGCATCAGACACCATTGGTATATTATTCTTTAGGCAAATGCTATGCTGACTGTCAACCACGTTGCTTTCTATCATATGTAATTCATAGTGTACTACGTACAAGGTTCTAAAAGCACTAATAGGGTAGCGGGTTGGGATCTAGCGCCTAAGCGGCTAGGCGAAACCTCGACGGATTTAAATAAATCTATTGTATTTTGTGTAAATAAGTGTCTGTTTATATTTAAAATATTTATAATTTCATCATAAACTAGAAAATAAAATGTTATGTATATTATGAAGTATTGGAACATAATGAAAACATGAGAAACAAACATATAATCTATGTTTATTTAAGTGTTCAATAAATCTCTTACAATTTATTGAAAACAATAAAATGCAAAAGGAAAGTTATCTATTTTCTATCTAAGTGAGTTGCAACCGAGGCAGTGCCTAGGCTGTTTGAGCTGGCTAGGCGGATGCCTCAGTAGGTCTAGACGTTATTTCTTAATTTTTAAACTCCTAGGCATTAATCGGGACGATGGCCAGTCGCCTAGCGCCTAAGCGGAGATTGTTAGAACAATGACTACATATATGATATATCTTATAGGTCTTTAATAAAATAAGTTTTCCATTAGAAAATAATTAATGTGCAAAAAATTTACATCATCTTTTTCATAACACGGGACATGCTTATCTAATATTTGAACTCCTAAGAACGCTCCTCGATTACGTCTGTTACAAGAAATTTTATAATCAGAAAAGTTTTGATCAGTTCTTTTCATATTTTAAAATACTCACACGGAGACATTCTGAAACCTTAAAATCTCTTTTTGTACATTGAAAAGCGAAATATTATAATAGGAACCAGATAGATTCAGTCCGATGTAATTTGTATAATTTTTAGTTTTTAGAGTTTAGCTAGGTTTCTAGGGTTTTCTAAACAATGTTTAATTATCAAAATTAGTTTTCTTTATACATAAATTTATATATAATTTGTATGTTGCTTTGCTAATTAGTAGTTTCTAGTTAGCATATGCCCCTAGTAGTTTCTTAAGAATAAATGAAAACACTTAAAGAGTAGTTTAGTCGGCAGCAGTTGCAACCATTTCTGATTATTGTAGGAGGAAAATGGATGCACGTTGACTTTGTCAGAGTCGAATCGGGCTCGATCAACGGCGGTGGGTAATTGTCGGATGATATTTTAATTTGAGACGGGCCGACCTACATGTTACGCATTTGAAAATCTACCCGTACGAGAGTCGTGGCTGATTGACGGTGATTGCGGCATTTTGAGGGTAGGAAGGGGAGATCCCAGCCGTTGATGCATTTTGGTTTTATAATACAGTGGGGTAGTGACGTAAGGGGTTATTCCGCGTTGATGTAGGCAGTATGGATCATGTGTTTGGTGCGTGATTGGCTACGTGTAAAAGCGGCAAGCAACCAATTTAATTTAACTTAATTTAATTTTCTTCATAATATAATGTGATGTTTCAAAAAAAAAAAAATCTAATATGATTCAATTTTATAGAGTGATGCATTGAACTTTGCATGAAAGTAGTGCGAGAGTCGAATCGAGATGTTGACGTAATCTCGACTCGATTCGGAAAAAGACTTAGGAAACAAAAACGTTTAAATAAAGGTGAAAATCTTATCATGTTTTGTTACGTGCTTTAATTTTCTTTTAATTTTTTTTTCTTACATAAAAATATTATTTAAGATATCTTCTCATGTTTTTTATAGGGGTGTGCTATCTACACACCCCATTTTACTTTTCACACACCCTTTAATAATTTATGTCCATTGATCTTCTTCAATTCATCCGATCCGACGGTTGAAAATTAAAAAGGTGTGTGAGAAGTAAAATGAGGTTTGTAGATATCACACCCCTTTTTATATGCTCGGAACATGAATACAGTCGTTATATGTAACCATACAAAGTGAAGAAATACTTAAAAAAATATCTTTTTCACTTTATAATAAACTATTCCGCATTATAAAACATTGAAAATTATTTCCTCGTGTCTCGTTTTGTTGTCCGTAGCCTTTCTTCAAGTTGATACTGAGTCAGCATTGGGCCATCGAAACTTGTCGTGTCCAATACGTGGGATTTTACTGGTCCCTGTAGCTAAATGGTATTAAAATTCAAGGGCATGGTCCACGGGTTATTAAAAAATTAAAAGAAAACTAATAAAAAAAATTTGACAACTTTGAGTTTTAACAAAAATGTGTTGTAAGTGAATAATATCATGATTGAATTTTTAGAGTAAAAATGTGGTTTTTCGTTAAAGTGAACAGTATCGAAAGCTTTTCGTTAAAGTTTTCAAAAATTAATTGTCATTAACAAAAATCTTCTTTTAATTAATCTTTTTTGGGCCGGTTCAAGCCGAAATTAGGTTTGGTTTGCTCTTTCAACCTCTTACATTAATTCTTGTGAGCTGCAGGGACACTGTGGGTAATTACTGTAGAGAGGTTCGAGAACTCGGATACAGATTAGAGGAATTAGTATCAGAAAGTTTAGGGCTGGAGAAAGATTACATAAGGAGCACATTGGGCGAGCAAGGACAGCACATGGCGGTCAACTTTTACCCGCCATGTCCGCAGCCCGAGCTGACTTACGGGCTGCCGGCCCACACCGACCCAAATGCCCTAACAATTCTGCTCCAAGACCTTGGAGTTGCTGGCCTTCAAGTTCTCAAAGATGGCAAATGGGTTGCTGTCAATCCCCAACCTAATGCCTTTGTCATTAACATTGGTGACCAATTACAGGTAACATATAATCCAAAAGATTTCTCTGTATGACGTCTAGTCTTCTTAAAGGTTGAAGTATTGAAGAATATCACTCGCGATCCATTTTATTAACTTTAATCCTATTCGTCGAGAGTGTTGATTACATAGGTAAAAATTACGCTTTGAAGTTTCGATTTTTTGTTATAGGTATCAGATTGTTTATTCAAACTCGAATTTTATCCAATCGTTAATTTACACCCTAAAACAAGCAACCATAGTAAGTTCAATCAAAGTTAAAGAGAACTAAAGAAATGAGGTTTTCTCATCGAGACGATTCTTTAAGCATATCCACATAATAATTAGCATACTATACCTTAAAATTGAAACCGTAAAATGTGATCATTTACATGTATATCAACCATTCCCATAAATGAGATAAAATTAAGTTAAATAAAATTGATCGCAAATGATATTTTCTCAAAACGTAAAGTTCTTGTATTCTGAAATTATTGACTGGTGCAGGCTCTAAGTAATGGGATTTACAAGAGTGTGTGGCATCGGGCCATTACCAATACTGAAAGACCAAGGCTCTCAGTAGCTTCATTCTTCTGCCCACAAGACGATGCTCTAATAAGCCCAGCAAAAGCTCTCACAGAGGATGGATCTGCAGCCATATATAGGGGATACACCTACACTGAGTATTATAAGAAGTTTTGGACTCGGGACTTGGAGAAAGACCATTGTTTGGACCTTTTCAGGACTCAGCAGCTGCCCTAGCCTCATCAAATGAGAGATTTTTCAATGTGACTATCACACGAGGTGGTACACCATGTGTCTCTATATAAATGGTGAATTATGTGTGTTAAAAGGTTAATAACTTAAAAAATAAAATTTATATCATTTGCATAAAAACACATGGTGTACCATCCGTATTCCCGTCACAACTAAAAATTTCTCTCATCAAACATATATGCGTTTGTTTATTCAAAGACGCACAAAACTCGTAATATATTTGTTGCTTATCAAATTATGGCTTCTCATGGCAGGTTGGAATGCTTCTGTAATTTTGTTGATTTAATTTCTTGATCATAGTATCAGTTTGAATGAACATCGTGAAAAATAATTTCCCAGCTTCGTCATGAATAATAATGTCCGTCATTTTATTATTCCCTTCTTGCCATTTTCTCTGTTTTAGGAGAGTTCGTGTATGAGTGGCTGTATGCCGAACCTTATTAACGGTAGGTTTGGGTGATGAGAAAATACATGGAGTCCTGATTTTGTATTTGTGGCAGTACATACATCTGTCTGTTGTACGACAAGTTTTCTCATTTGTACGACTCATTTGGAAGTGATTTTAAAATGTCTAGTTTTCATTATGAATTGTTGGTTTCATAAAGAGTAGGAAAGATATCATGGTTTTTTTTGTTGTATTAATTTATAACATTTTTAAGGGAAGTGTTATTGGCACTCCAAAAATCTCATTCTACACTCCTCACAAGTGTATTTTTCTTTCCTAATATGAAAGTTTGGAGTGTGGAATATGATTGTTGGAGTGCTAATAACAATTTCCCATTTTTAATTAATAAATATTTATTCATCGTGTGGCATTCACATCAGTAGAAAATTTTGAGCCCATTGTTTTACTTGTTAATTAACAAAATTTCTAAAGGTAAGTGGTACATTGCAACATAATACAAAGTTCAAATGGTAAATAATACAAATGAAAAATTCATATGGTAGATGCGCACATCGACAAAAGTGCATATAGTATTTACGTAAACTCCTCTATTTTTTTTTATAACTTATGAAAGCCTACCTATGGTGAAAAATCCACATGCGATCACCATATAAAAAACCAAAGCAATATGAATACAGAAGTTATCATACCTAAAGCCAAAGTTATATTCAATTCTTCTTAAGAAGTTCAATGACATAGGTATTGAATGCAGGGCACATGACTCGGAAGCCTTGGAATCCAGATCCTTTAGCCAAGACCTCGAACTCCTCCTCCGTTCTCTCTCTTCCGCTAGGGCTGTTAGTTAACATGATCAGGTCGTGATGGGCAACTACCTTGGTGGCAAGGTTGCTGGTCGGGGCTACCTGAAGAATGCACTCGGCAAGAATCACCTTGCCGTTATCAGGAAGAGCAGCATAGCAGTTCTTCAAAATCTTCAGACAATGCTCGTCACTCCAGTCGTGACATACACACTGTAAGATTGCAAACACAATTTTAATATTAGCTCCATATATATTAACCATCCAAGCATGATCTCATCCGAAATTGTTATTAGCAATACAAGTAGTCATTGACTTTATTTTTGATAAATCATATATAACTCACCTTCATGAAAATTGCATCTCCTTTTGGAACAGTTCCAAACATGTCTCCTCCAATGTGCTCCACACCTGTATCCAAATCCATAGATCTCAAACTCATTAGGAAAAATGATAAATAGTACAAGCATTTTTTTTTAATACAAGCAAATACTGGAGGAGAGGAATCAAACACAAGGTTTTTTCTTAACTAATGGAGCTACAAGCATAATTGTAAATGAAGAATCTACCAGGATATTGGGGGGCATCTTTGATGACATGAGGCAAGTCGAAGTTAATGCCCTTAATCGAAGGGTACTTAGAAACGATCATGTTAATGACAGCACCAATGCCACCACCAACATCAACGACGGATGTGAGGCCCTCAAAGCCCTTGTAGGTCTCAAGAATTTTCTTCATGGTAATGGTGGAGATGTCAGCCATTGCCCTGTTGAAGACCTTGTTGAATCTTGGGTCAGTGCTATGGTACTCAAAAGCAGTCATTCCATAGGCCTTGTTGAAGGGAATCCCTCCTTCAAGAACTGCATCTTTCAGGTGGTACCTGCAGAAACCCAAACATACATGTCAGACTCACAACCAAAAGCACATATTATGTGTAAAATAAAACGATATGCCAATGGGTCAGTAACGGTCATATGGGTTGGCCCATATTGGTTTATACTACAATAGCAAAGGCACGAGGTATATTGGACTGGGCAATTGGTAAAGCAGTAAACCGTTGTATCCGAGTTAAATTTTAACTTCTGACATTTTATTATACTATAATTCATGAGAAGGAAATTCAAATTTATGCGTTAATGAAAAAACACACGTCATTAGTTAATTGATCTAATTCATATTGTAATTACATTTTTACGATGAAAAGAACAAGAGTGGTATTCGGGGATATTGCTCTTCGCACTCTTTTACCTTTTCACACATCTTTATTAATTTTTATCTATTAATTTTTTTCAACTCATTCTATTCAAAAGTCAAAATTTGAGAAAAATATATAAAAGATAAAAATAAGTGTATTTAAAGCACCACACATCATAAAATAGGTCACCAGACATCACTCATCATATACCGTTCATATCCTTTCGTGTATGAGGCATATGTTGTCAATTTATTCTTCCATTTATCGGTCCTCTCCAACGCCTTCTGCCTTTTTTATGCCACACAAGTCCAAAAGTATAGTAAATTCGACTATATTCTAACTTTAGTTTGATGTACTTATAAATTAATGTTGAGACTCAACTAATCAAATCGAACAACTGTAAAATGTCACGTGGTAATAATTGGTCACTTCTTTGTTAATTTGAAATTTAGATTTTATTTGAAGGTTTAAAACATAATGAGATTTGCCACTACGGTTTAGTGGTATTCTTTTTCATTTGTAAGTGAGATATCTTATGTTCGATTATCGCTAAAGGCGAATTCGAATCACATTATTGCTAACCCATTATAAGGTTAAGTCCACCCTCTCATTTTAGTATAGATAATATCGTTTAATTTGTTAAAAAAAAAACATAATGGGATTTTGCCACTTAAAAGTGAATTTGAACCACATTATTGTTAGCTCATTAGAAGACTCAACCCACTTTTCTACCTTGTAGATAATATCGTTTGTTAAGAAAAAGAAAATGTAATGAGATTTTGTCTCCAAAACAATTGTTGCAAGGATTTTTTTTTTTTAACAATCGATATTATTTACACTAAGGGGGAGTGAGCAGTCTAAGCCTTACAATGATGTAGCAATAATGTGGTTCATATTCCTCTTTGGCAAGAATCGAACCTAAGACCTCTCACTTACAAGTAAAGATAAATACCACTAAACCGTAATACTAATTAAGTGGCGCAAAGACTTTAACTCTAAACAACACAAACAAAAAAAATGAAACGGCTTCACCTAACGGGACTCTAAAACTTCGAACCCCCAAACACCAAACCGGCCAAAGGTAACAGTAGCATTTTATGATTGTATTATGATCAACCTAGCTATTTAAATCCTATTAATTAATGTTTGATAAGATCCAATTAAGATGATAAATTAAGAAGAATGGTAAGTACCAGCTCTCAACAGGGACCTTGTCCAGGTTCATGAGGCAGAGAGAAGCAATAGAAACACCATCCTCATTCGTTGTCAGGAACTTACAGACAGGGCCTAGGCCGTACAGCCGCTCGACTTTGCCATCCTGAAGCGTGCGGAGGGAGTAAGCGAGGATGGAGTAGCTGGCCAGGAGGCGCAGCATGCGGTCCAGCATGACGGGCGCGTCAGGGTTCTTGGTCGGCAGCTGCGAAGCTAAGTCCGCCGGAGAGACGAAAGCACCAGGCCCGGCTTTCGCCATAATCTCAAGGAGGTCGAGCTCGATGGTTGCCTTGAGCACCATGGGGAGAACGGAGGCGCTGGCTAGCTGCATGGCGAAGAGGCTGGCTTCTTCGTCGGAGACTTGGGTTGGAGTCATCTGAGTCTCTCTGGTTGAATCCATTTTATTGATTTTGGTATTGGGTTGGTCGGTTGAGAGAGACAGAGAGTAGCGAGGGGGGAGGAGAAGGCTGTGCTAAGTGGCAATATATATTGATTTCTTTGCTCACTCACCACCATTGATGTGGTAGTACCAAGGCGTTCACCACCCATGCAGGCCCCGACATGTAAGGCCGGCCTTGAGGGTAGCCGAAGTAGGTGCCTGCCTAAGGCTTTCACTTTGCAGGGGCCCCAGATTTTAAAAAATATATATAAAAATAAATTTTACAATTAAAATTCAATAAAAATATCAAAAAATAATATCATAGGCTATTGAAAAAGAATTGGTTGAAAATCAGATTATGTAAACTTAATTAGTATGACATATTTTGAGGAAAATTCCTTATGAGGATTTGTAGGGGACCTCTCTAGCTTTCAAAAGAGACTCAAAAGAGACATTTTGGGACCAAATCGAAGTTGATTTGGTCGGTCAAAAGTCTGATTTTCTGATAAGTCTGAATTTAAGTTTAAATAGAAACTTTTTATTTCAATTTTATTCTAAGACTTTTTAGGGTTTTATTTTGTAGTAGTATAAATAAGACTTTTTAGCCATTAGAGTTAGAAGGGAAGGAGAGGAGGAAACGCATGCATACTTTAGAGAGTTTTTTAAGTATATTTTCTAGGTGTTTTCTATCCTTATTCTTAATAATATTTTGTTTTATGATTGTTCGCAGGTAGTTTCTTTTGCTAAGACGAAGCCACAAGCTTTAGCATGAATATATGTGATTTTATTAATTAGCTTATGAATGAATGCATGTTTGCTTTGAATTATTAATATACCATGATTAAACTATCTAATTGTCTTAGTGATTCGCGACCATTAGGGTTTTTAGACAAATAATTTGATGCAATTTTTGTTGAAATATCACCTTGAAATTGAGGAGGGCTTCTTGTGATTACTAATTGTAAGTTCACTTAAGGCGAACATCACGTTCTTAAGGGTTGCATGGTTTTTCAAAGGGTTTTCACAAAGCTTAATGAGTCTTGCATGTTTATATTTGATATACATCATAGACGGATTGCAAGTTAGATATACGTTTTCGCTTGAACATCACGAGGAAAATATGCATTAGGAAAACCTAACATTCAAAGCATGTATGTAGAAATTCATAAGTAATTGGTAAAATTGCATAGGATTGTTAAGGGGACGGCGGAATCCTAGACTTTTACAATTTGATTTTCAAAACGTTTTTCTTTTGCTTTCTTTACTTTGTCAAATATTTAATTATTTTTATTTAAATTCGTTTTTATTATTTTAAATTCCAAAATCAACCTTTTCAAAACTTTGTTCTAAATAATTAGCTAAGAATTAGTTTAAATACAAATTATTCATTCAATTCATGTGGAAAACGATATTGCTTGAGCCGCTATACTACGACAATCTTGTACTCTTGCAATTATTTTTAAGTGTTTTTATCCCTACTTGTGTAGGTGGTAAAAATCCTATCAAAAATCATAAATTTTCTCTCAGAAATTCAAGAAACGAAAATTCTTTGTCTGTTTTTATATGTTGTGGAGACCCAATCTGACTTGTGTGTTCTTCCAGGTCGATCTCGGCCGAGGGTTTTAGACCTCTTTATTTTTCCATATTTTCGGATTATTCCCTCATAATTAGGGAATTAAATTGTTCCTATTATTCGGTAAAATCTAAAACGATTTGCAGCTTTGATTTGGCCTTTGCATGTTTGTGGTATTTGAAATTATGGTTTTTTTTGGGGATTGGATTTTGGGATTTAAGTTGAATTCGTATGGGTATTTTTTCAGAAATTTTTGTTGTTTCCGTGTTGGAATTAAAAGAACTATTCATGTTGGATTTTTACATAAGTGTGTCTCAGCTGTTGTTTTCGTTTTGTTGTGTGATTTTTATGTGGTGTTTATATGTGCAGGCGCTTGTGTTAGTATTTTGTGTTTTTATTTTTGTCCCAGCTGCTGAACTTCATTTTCAATTTCGTTTAATTTATGGATTATCAGATGTTGTGGTTTGGCATGCATTGTAATATGATTTGAACGAGTCTAATTAATTTTAATTTTTCATGATTCCGGTAGCAAATTGCATCGCTGCGGTTTTCTGGGTCTCTTGGACCGTAGTCAGAGAGGAAAAGAACTAGAAATAGCAAAAGAAATCAAGGGATACAAGAAGATCATACTTCTGACATTGCAAATGGAATAGAAATGTTTAACGAAAATGTTTCTGGTCATTCGTTTCTTCTCAGCTATCAATTTGTTGCTTGGAGTTTACGTTTTTTTTGCACACAATGCCAAAAAGAATTAGGAATAACAAAAACAATTAGATCATATAAGATTATATTTGTGTCGTTCGCCGCAGCGGAACGCGGGTGTTTTTGCTAGTGTTATACTCAAAGTCAATGGGTTATTTTTTTATGATTTTACTGGCTTTTAATTTTGTTTCTTATTGTGTTCTAGAAGCTGAACAAATATAATGACAACATGAATAACGGGAAAGCCTATAACATAATACCAGTTTGAATGAACATCATGGATAATAATTTGATAGGTACGTCATGAAAATAATATGAATGTCGTTTTATTATTCCCTTCTTGCCATTTTTTCCGTTTTAGGAGAGTTCTTGTGTATGAGCGGTTGTATGTCGAAATCAATTGACGGGTAAGTTCGGTTGATAAGAAGATCCATGAGGTTTTGATTTTGTGTTTGTGGCAATATAGACATGTAATTTGTCCGTCGTAGTTGTCACTTGTATTATAGGAATATAATATTTAATTGTAATTAGTGTAAGATTCCTATTTCAATAGGGTGTAACCTTGTATATATTTTGTAATATTTTTCACATAACAGTACAAAGAGTCATGATTCTACATGTTATCAAAGCAACAAAATCACTTTCTTATTATTATTTTTCTAACTTATGAAAACCTACTTATGTGTAATGTCCACGTACGGATACACGATCACCATATAAAAAACCAAAGCAATATAAATGCAGATGGCAGCATACCAAGGGCAAATTATACTCAATTCTTCTTAAGAAATTCAATGGCATAGGTGTTGAAGGCAGAGCACACGACTCGAAAGCCTTGGAATCCAGATCCCTTAGCCAAGGCCTCGAACTCCTTCTCCGTCCTCTCTTTTCCGCCGGGGTTGTGAGCTAACATGATCTCGTCGATATGGACAACTCCCTGGTGGCAAGGCTGCTGTCCGGAGCTACTGGAAGAATGCACTCAGCAACAATTACCTTCCCATTGTCAGGGAGCGCAGCATAGCAGTTCTTCAAAAATTTCAAGCAATGCTCGTCACTCCAGTCGTGGCATATCCACTGTAAGATTGCATACAGGATTTGATATTAGTTCCAATTATATTGAGCAACTAAGCTCCTATGAGAAATTAATATTAGCACTACAAAATAATCATCGGCTCTTTTTTGATAAATAATAACTCACCTTCATGAAAATTGCATCTCCCTTTGGAACACTTACAAACATGTCTCCTCCAACATGCTCCACACCTATATTCAACATCCACTGACCTCATATTCGTTAGGAAAAATGATAAATAGTACAAATATTATTTTTATATACAATAACATTAGGGGAAGAGAAATTGAACTTGAGAGATCGAATGTAAAGGTGAACGCTTTTAAGTAATTGAACTACAAACATTATCAGAAATGAAGAACATACCAGGATATTGAGGAGCATCTTCGATGACATGAGGCAAGTCGAAATTAATGCCCTTAATCGAAGGGTATTTAGAGACGATCATGTTAAGGATAGCGCCAGTGCCACCACCAACATCAACGATGCATGTGAGGCCCTCAAAGCCATTGTAGTTTCTTCAAGAAGTTTCTTCATGAGAGAGAGATCGAATGTAGTTCTCAAGTAGTTCTCAAGAAGTTTCACATGAGTGAGGTCGATAAGATAAACAGCTTGACTTTTATATACATTCAACTAAGCTAACATGTAGAATTAGTATGTAAAGACATTGCACAATTAGTAGAAAGAAACTGAATGTTCTTGATCACAAAGACATGGTCGGCAAAAAAGTTATGTTTCCATAAGAAACAGAAGCAACATGTAGTTCACACAAATTTTTTCCATTATAGTTAGCTTTTGAAAAAACTGCTACACCGTTTTACAAATTCAATCGTTAAACATGATATTGTATTCCAAGACAAAGATAAAGTATATGGTTTGTTTACAAATCAAAGCTAGAAACCCCAAAGCTTTTTGCATATTCATCATCTCTCTGATCATGAAAAATTAAAATTAATAATAATCACTCAAATCATATTACAATATATAACAAACTATGTCATCTGATAATCGATAAATTTTAAGAAAATTTAAAATGAAAACCATAATCTGAAATGTCTGAATTTTCTCAAACACTTTCTGAGAAGCCAAACCAAAACAAAAAACAAAAACAAAAACAAAAGGAGATGAATGAGAAATGAGAAACGAGTAATTACCATGTCTGGATTTGGATGAGGCGGGAAGAGAAGGCCATGATCGGTTCACAGTCTTCCTCTTCTTCTTGTAATTTATGTTCCTCTTTCAAATTTCAAAAACAAAAAATCCACCCATACTTAATTCCCATAAAAAAAAAATTAAAAAAAAATAAAAAAACTAGTATAAAAATTTCATGGCACCTATAAAAATTCACCGTCACTAGTATAAAAACCACCCATACTCCATTCCATTTCTTCCCAAAACCCAGGGATTCGGTGCCAGAACTGCATCTTCTCAGTTGTTGCATATCTTCTTGCTAATGTGTCATTGACTTCGCACGCCTAGAAACCAAGCCATCACAATGCAAACGCGAGTATCTCTGATTAGCATCGAAGGGGGTTGGCTTGGAAACTAAGAGCTGAGTATCATTCAAGGGATTATTCTGTAGCGTTGTGCCTACTCCGGATGATGCCAAAGTGGCCCCTTGAAGAGGTAATGAAGGTAGTCATCTATCTAGCCTTTGGAAAGGTGCACTATATTGCATGAACATGAGGAAATGCGAACAAATAAGAATTATAAAAACTAAAGTGAATCAAACCCATGGATCTTAT